ATATTAGTTTTTGTTTTAATTTTTTTTTATCAGCTTTTTAGTTATGAATCGCAGTTTTTCAGCCAAGAAAAAATTCCAATTAATTTAAATACACTTGGTTAATGAGATTGGACTTTCTTTAAGTTGAGTTATTTGGTTAACCGTAATGGCACTTAAAACATTATGAAATTATCAGTGAATGAAGTTGAATTATTATACGTATATCTTAAACCTTAAACAGTCGGCGGCAAATGGTCTTTAGTATGGATTTTGTGGATTGTGTTCCACTTTGCTTTGACAAGTGGGCATAAAATAATACTCGGCAAAATGAGGGAAAATATTTATGAACTGCTGACGTCGAGAATCCGAAAAGGGGGAAAAATGAACAGGCGGGAAAAGGGGAGAAAAGGGGGGGTGCGTAAAGCCCACTTCAATGAATTTATTTTGGGAATTTCATTTATCAGCGAACTCTTCAGACGTCGGAGCATCTGGAAAATCCCCGTCGGCCAACTGGTTCGAGGAAATCAAGGACCACAGAGAAGCTTATCGTGGCAAATCCTATTGTCGTCATATTGACATAACCGCAGAACCATCCGCACCCCGAAAATAATCCACCGCAGACACTACTTCCTCCCATTTCTTGTGCCCTGCACCACCAGCCATTCATCTTCTCGGAAGTTTTGTAGCGAAACAACTCGCGCTTGTCCTTTTTTCCCTCGTCCTTCGTCCTTTTAGCCACCATTGCGGTCGCTTGGCCTCATTGAATCCCGATGTGCAAGTGCCAGTCCCAGTTGCAATGTAAGTCAAATTTCCACTTGCAGCTGTTGCAGTTCTTCGAACTCTTTCCGTTCATCCTTATCAGAAAAAAGCTATTTATGCTTTCAGCTGTAAATTTAAATTTTACTTTAAATCAGTATATTAGATTTAAATTAATGTTTACGTTATGGTGTCTATGATGCAATACTATGTATTAAAACATTTTCTTAAATATTTAAATATTCAAAAACAAAATCCTTTACTTTTGGTTCTTCAACTGCTTGCGAATATTTTACAATCGCAAAAATGTTACTTTGAGTCCTTACTGGTACTGCTGGCCGCTGTTCCTTTAGTCCTTCCTTTTACAAATCCTCTTACTCCTCCAGTCATCTGCCACAGCTCCTTGGCATCCTTGTCCTGTTGCTGTTGTGTGTATCTTACGCTTCAGTGGCTTAAGTTTCGTACTTGACGCGACTTATCTTTTACAGCGACTTGTTTGCAAAATGACAAAATGAATGGTGCGGTCAGCAGCTCTTCATCTCGCTCCTCGAGCTCCTTTCATTATCCTTGGCGCTTCATTGGATTCCTCAGCACTTCGTCAAAATTCACTTGGTCGACGGTTCGCCAAGGATTTTCCTACACAAAATGGTACACAATGCAATGTCAAATGAATTGGGTAGAAAATGCAGCCAACAACTTTCTTGGCCTTTACAAATGTGGCTGGATTTGTGATGGATTTGTGTTGTATGTTTGTCAGGGAGATAATAAATTTATTTTTTCGAGATACGAAGTTGGTTTGACTTGGTTGGAGGTTACTTATATATGACAAAGATTACTTGAATGAGAGAAAAATATTATTTATCTATTAAACAGTATTTTTTCATATTTATCTTCTTTTGTATTCTTAACTTTGCTGTTTATCTATCCAGAAATAAGTTCAAATTCTATTGTCTTTAAATTACTTAACCAAAAATACAGAAACATGGTGTGTATATCTCGTTTCAAGTTAATACTTTTTTCTGAAACGAACCAGAGTTGCACATTTCCGCCATCATATAAGTTTGCGGTGGGCCGCACACTCTTTTTATTCGCGGTTTAAATGCAGAGAGTGCGCCATCATGTTGCCACCGATTCCGGATGGTCCCTTTCCCCAAAATCACCGTGAATTGGGGCTCAGGTCCCGAGGAGGAAGGAGGCTGGAATTCCGGGTGCTGGCCATGTCGTAATTAGCAGTGCACGGCGTTGCCGGCGATAATTAATGACGTTGGTCACGTTGGTTTCATGTCGATTTCATTTCATGACACGGCCGCAGGCAACTCCCAATCAACCCACTGCCACCCACTTTCACCCACTGCCCACCCACTTCCACCCATCGAAGCGGTGATTTGTCAAGCGTTCTCATTGAAAAATACGAAGGGAAATAAAGAAAAACGGCTTCGAACTCGACGACTGCATGTAAATCTACATTAAATTGAATTTCACTTGCCCACAAAAAGTGCGAGGGAGCAGCTTGACTTTTATATTTTATTTTTCGCTTCTGCTCCATTTCGTTGGGCCTTCATTAAACGCTGACCATTTTGAAATTCAATGCAATTTGAACTTTCAATTCAGTTGAGTTGAGTTCAGCTCGATTCGATTCGATTCGATTCGATTCGTTTCGGGCTGCGCATAATTGAATAATTTATGGACGTGCCGGCTGAACGTTGTCTTTGATCAAGTTTTCACAGCGAAGCGGTTTCTTTTGACTTTATCTCATTTATAAAGCCGTCGTCTCCTTCATAATTTAACATACATTGATTATATTTGAATAGATATACAAAATTTATAAATGTAAAGCAGCATCATAAAATGGATAGAATAGCTTTTCTGATGGAATGAAAAAATTCATGTTTAATCTTCACAAATTTTCTCCAATAATTTAGTGCTTCACATTCTTAATCCGCTCCTTAGACATTTCATTAATTGCAGATTGTTTGAAGAGAGCGTGCTATTTACATATCACTTGATTTGCCAAATTTTCTGAATGGATTGCGGACGAAGCAGTCGAGTTCATTGTAGTGCAAATGCCAACGCAGCTTGTTAACTAATTGAATGGACATTCAATGGTCCCTCCACTTGACCATAAAATTAATTAAATTCATTTTGTTTGATAACCCGCGCTTATTAAGTTCCCCCGAAATCGAAGCTGTGGATAAGAACCAGGGATCAAGTGAAACGCAATTGAACAATGCAAAATGTTTGATTTTCTTGAGCGCCTGTATTTGCCATTGCCAAAATTTCATCAAATATTTGCATATTATACTCACAATGGCCATCACTGTGTGTGCATGCAAATATATTTAAACAGTAAATACTTAATGCTCTTAGCCTTAATGCATTCGACATCCAAATCAGCTATTCGGATTTCCTGAAATACATCAAATTGTTTGCTCAGCTAAATTTCCTCCATTTATCTTGAAAATGTCAAGTGAATTTTGGCAAATCTCATCTGTTGTCTGATAATCCTTTGAATCGACTTTAACACAGAATATTCCGCATTTCTGATTTCAGACGTTTTGCACAATAAGCTTATTCTATTTCAAAGTATGTGCAATTACGAATATTTTAGATTGTTATTATTTTATGCAATATTTTGTTTTTAAAACCCGAATAAGAATTTAGTTTTTTTAAATTATTATACTTACAGACAACTTAAGTTTGTAGATACAAATAAGTTAAGCAATCACGTCGAACTGGTAAAACACAGTTTTATTTTACATCTCATTTACCTTTTCTTCGTTGGCTTTTGATTCTGACCAAGAAAATTTGCATAGTTGGGCTTCATTAAAAAGGAGAAAATCGTTGGCAAATAAAAATCAAGGATCTTTAAGTGCAGGGGTTGCAAAAAGTTGAAAATAAAAATCTCAATTTAATCCCATAAATGTAAGAGCTTTGCAATAAACTTTATTTAGCTACATTATTAAATTGAATTTTATTTTAATCATTGTTAATATTTTCGCGGATTAATTGCGCTTAAATTTATAGCTAAGTAAATGCTCTGTGTGTCAATTTATCTTCTCCATTGTTTGCTTTGTTTTTTACAAAAATAATAATTTATGTTTGCCATCTATCACAGTTCACTCGGGTTTCGTTGTCATCAACCACTGGCTACAGCTGGTTGAAGGGGACCAAATGCTTGGAAAAAACAGATCTGACCCGATGTCAACCAGCTACACACAGCGTTGCAGATAATAATTTTTGAATATCGCAGAATTGAATCAAGTTTCGTTTGTGCACTGTTTGCATTTCATTAAGCACGTTTTGTTATAGATTCGAATCGGTAATATCAATGCGCCGGCAGTCGCATAAATCAATTCTCACTAATTACGCGCCATTGTTGTGAACGATTTTATTATTATTTTTTTCTTGAACGAGCGAAATTAATTGAATAAAATTTGCACACGCACAGGCAGTAAATCACAATGCGTCGGTCACTCGACATTCGCAATATTTTTTTTCTCGCCCAGAAAAGTATGCTATAAAAATTGTCAGCTGGATACCCTAAATAAACTTATTTTACTTTGAAACTTTATATTGTTTGGCTGAATGTGGAATAAATATACGTACAAAATATAAAACCTTACAAAAGAAATTCTGATTTTAATAAAATATTTTTATGTTTTTAAGCACGTATCAATCGATTAAAAAAAAACACCAAACCAATAAACTCTTCGTTAACAAAGCTAAACGCTTTAACAGATATTTCGCGTTTAATTTGCACCTTTAATGGTTTGTCGCGACCAGGATCATATATCCTGTTCGCTCCGTCCTTCTCTTTTTGCCACTCATTCATCCGTTTGTTGTTTTGCATGCGGCACATTAGCTTCATTTGTTCTATTGTTTTGATTATGATTTACAATGCCCAATGCGCAGCTTTTGTTGCTTTGCTGAATAAGCGGCATGTATGTGTGTGTGTGCGGTAAGTGTGCGAAAGTGTGGGTGCGCACATAAGTGTATGCGTGAATTTATGTTGAACAAAGCATAATACATTTGCATAGTGGGAAAGTGGTAGAATGAGGCATTTGGACCACACAATAAATTTCATTTAAGCCCGCAGAAACATTAACCACTACTTAAATGTCCCTTAATGGCGTTGTTTTTTTTGGTTTTTTTTTTGTTGAGAAAAACTTACAAGAGTATTATTAACGCTTATTAGGCTTTGGGGATTACATCCCTAAAGTGAGAAAAGCTCAAAGCTGTTAACTTAATAGATACCAAACTCTTCATTAACGTTTGTAAGTTTGAGATTTATTAACTCTTAAAACTTTTCACATTCCAATATAATTTTAAGATTATAATTTGGCTGCAATTTAAAAATCACATTGTTAAATACTTGAGAATTTTGAAATCCTTTCGGCTTTAAAGAGTGTAATATAGTTTTGGAACAGATCCAGATCAGGCTCAATTTATTCCTGTCGATTTAGGTTCGAGCTGCCAGTGGCATTTGGATCCTGGCCAAGAGGTTGGTTGGGAAAGAAGTGTTCCTCCAGCTTTCGGACTCCTTCAGGAGTGGTCAAATCGAAGGCGAACTTAAGGTACTTGTCGAAGTAGTTCTTTGTGTGGTTGGTGTTATGACGAGAGGTGCGATGGCTAATAGTGGGTGATTTAGCCCCTCCCTTAACTCTGGATTCCTTGTGTTCCTTTATTTCTTTGGGTTCTTTTGATTCCCTTGGCTCTTTGCCTGTCTTGTGTTCCCTGTGTTCTTTAAACTCTTTGAATTCTTTGGTATCCCTAAAATCTTGAATTTGTTTGGCCTCCTTATTTACCTTGATTTCTTTCGATTCCTTCTGCTCTTTTATCTCGTTGGGTGTTCGTTTTCGAAAACTTCCTGTGGTCACCGAGGAATCAACGGTTTTTGATGATATGTTGCTCATGTTATCTCTGCTTTGATATTTTGACGACATGGATACACTTCCTTCAGTTCTTTTGATCGGATTCTTAGATGGGCGAGGTAGATGATCACAATGGTTTTTAATTTTATCATTTACGAAGATTGGCGGTTCCTCGAATGGCTGCATAGATGACTTGTTGCTCCGCCTTTTGCTCATCTTTGGGATCTTATCCTTGGGCAATCCGTAATCGTTATCGTACTGTCGATAAGTCGGCGACATTGGCGGCATCTCCAAACGAGTTGACTTCGACTTGCGGGTTGATATGATATTTTGGGCCATTTGATTTCGAAATTAGTTACAAAAGATAAAATTTCTTGTAAATTGCAACGAATAAAGGAAAAAGTAATCGTAGCCTTAGAAAATAAATGTGGTAATCAGGTAGAGACGAATACACTTTTTGATAGCAAATCCATGGAACTTTTTGAAATAAAATTCTGAACATGCTGCCTTGACTTTTTTAAACGGATACTTTGGTTAAAAAAACAATGGAGGTTTTCGGTTGAGAAAAAAAGTTTTTTATTCAGTTTTAAGATTGAAAGATAAATCAGACTAAATAGCTACATTTAAACAAATTTAAATAAATTTATTTATTCATTTGCCTTCTGAATAAAATTAACCGACAAAGGATTCTTAAAAAAGGTAAATAATCCCAAAGAAAGAAAGAAAGAATTTCTTTTCTCTTTTAGACACGACAAAAAGTCAAAGCTTAAAATGCGAGTAATTTACCAAAGAGAAATGTGAAAGCGAGATACAGAGATAAAAAAGTTTTTATTTTTGTTGGATTACCTTTTTTCGGGGCACTGCTAAAATGAAAATAACAGCAAAAAAGAACAATTAATTCCGGATAAACACATTTTATAATTAAAAAATTCCTTCGCCTTTTTCCTGGCATTCTCAGACTATTTTGTTTTTGTATGTGCTCGGAAAAACAAAGCCAGCGCGGATAAAGTGAAAGAGCCAAAGAAATTAAGTGGAAAGAGAAAAAAATAAAAACGACGACGACGAGAAAGAAGCTTAGAGAAGTGACAGCTGAGAAAAGGAGAAACGGAGAACATCAAACAGGGATATAGCCAAAAAGTCCAGAAACACATGGCGTATACGCAATATTCCTTTGATTTTGACACAGAAATTTAATCATCTTTTCCTGGCCGAAAGAGAACCCACTAAGCTGATTAGGGTCTCCTTTCACTAATTTCTTTCTTATTTTCTCTCAGTTTATTTCATCATTTTCCCCCGTTTTTTTTTTCTGAATTTCCGTGGACCAAGTAATTTATTGTTTGTTGTGCGTAATTAACCCGCTTCGTGGTCGCGATCTTGGCTTTCACACTTTGTTTCGTTGCCTTTTGCCTAATGACGTTGTGCACGTTTCGAGGCAAAATTCCTCCCCCTTTTCCGCGAAAAAAATTTCATTTCATTTTGGTGATTTAAGTCTTATCTGCGTGTAAAGTCGCCCACGTAATTAGTTTCATTCCAGCCTCCATCCTCTGTGTGCTTTTTTTTTCGACCCCAGATTGCGACCTGTGCAAGTTTTTCCCCTTTTTTCCGCTTACATTTCACAAAATGCGCGCAGCTTGCCTGAAAATGTGAAAGGGGGTGGCGGTGGGCATGGCAGTTGATGGGGCCAAGTGTCAGCTTAGCCCTCGCAGGCAATGCGAAATGACAGGCAAATTAAAGCTGAGTGGACGGGTTGGAGTTGGCAGCCAGCGGACAATTTATCAGAGATACATTTAACACGATAAAGGTATAAAAATTGCTACATGCTACAACCAAAAAAAAATCGTTTAAGTCTCCTTTGACAGTTAGAGGAATTAATTCCAGAGAGAACAAGTTTGTTAAATGAAATCAGAAATGTTCTCTTGCTGAATATTTTAATTTTTCTTTGCCATCCAAGTTTCTTAAACAGGTAATACCCATTTAATGTTCGCCTAACGAGCTGTCCTTTGTCTTTTCAAAATCTGTTCACTTATTTCGTACTAATGCTTAAAGTTTCCTTAACGGGCTTAAGGAGCAAGTGGCAGGAGGACAAGAGGGAACAAGAGAGCTCCAAGAGGGAATTGTTCTGAAGGAGTTCCTTTTCTTAGGCAGCCTGTTGCCAATTGTCGAGCAAACAACTATTTACTTGACATTTGCAAAGGAATGTGTTCTGCTGTGGACCCCTCTTGACTGGCATTTTGTTCCTTTATTCAGGTCCCTTTATTGTCTTGTTTGCCTTTTCTCCCCCGATCTTTTCTGTTTAAGCAAGAACTTGAAAAAATTGTTTAACTGCTGCAAGGGGTACACATGAAAAAGTAAAGGATAATAATGATATTAAAAGGATAATATTCTGTTCAATCCATTTGAATTAATTTGGGATATACTATATATAATATAATAAGAAATCAAACTGAAATACACTAAACCTCTTTTAAATAAAATTTAATTATTTAAATCAAATTCAATTAAAAGAAAAGTCGTCAGATACTTCAACTTGTTCCCATTTTTACCCGTGCAGTTGCTCTTTCCAGCTCTCCAAGGTATTGATGTCAACAGAATGTTGCAGCGACTTCTCACCTCCTCACCTGTCCGTTCCACTGAATATTTCAGAGCTCGACTGACAGTCAATTGGAGTTCCCCCGAAAAAAAAGAAAAAAAATTGGAACCGAGAAATACATATATAAATTGCAACATAAATTATACGCACATGGCTGGGGGAAATCGAGCTGGGATGGCTTGTCCCATGTGCTTAAGCGGAAATCGTGTACAAAATGAAAATTCAGTGGGAGGAAAAGTCACCTAGTGCCCCTCGGAATTTCCCATCCTTTCTGCTGTCGCCGGCGCCATTCGTTGCTGTTAACATTTCCGCTTTATTTGTCTGTCTGCCCTTTCACCCGCCGGTTTTATCTATGCCCGCTTTTCAGCTCGACATTCCCCATCCGCCACATTCCACCTACATTTGTTTGGATTTTTGTTGCTGCGACTGCAGTTTTATTTCTGCAGTCCTCGGCTCCGCGTTTTTATCTCTTTTGTGTCGCCGCTGACGTTGTCTAATGTTTTAAATATAAACTCGAAAATAATGCTGAAAATAAAAACATAAATCAACGCAAATATCGCTTCTGGATTTCTTTTCAATCTGCACAAGTACACAGTACAGATAGAGGTGGCGTAACTTTTCGCTTTTGTTGGCTCGGCTTGGCTTGTTTGGCAACCATAAATTATTCACACACAAGTTTATCTCTTAATGCGATAGACGAAATTTTCCTCGCTTTTCTCTCGGGGATTTCAGGTTAGAAATAATCGGGATTTTTAAGTGGGAGTAGAATACTTTACGCTGCAAAGTTCCTTTAAAAAGTTAAATTGGTTAAAAGAAATAAATAGTGATAACCAAATATATTTTTGAAACTTAATTCCAAGAACGCCAATCTAGGTGTTGAATTCCCCCATTTTGGCCTGTCAATGGTTTCCTTCGACTACTCATTTCTCCAACATCACTTGGTCCTGTCGGCTGGCCTGTTCGCAATTCCCAACTGGCGAAGGGAAAGTGACAGTCGAATTTCCCGTTAAGCTCCTTCGCACCTAGTCGAGCGATCAATCAAACGTGGCATGCAAAGTGGGCGCATCCTTCCTCGCCGGCAGTTGCCACCTGACCATTTAGCCACACGAAGCAGTTAATTAAATGATGAAAGCATTGACGTGTCGCAGGGACTAAATTGCCAGCAGGAGGAGGACCGACTTGGCCAGAAGCAGTCAGGAGTGCTGACATGCGAGGAGGAAGACTGGCTGTCTGGGGGCCATGTCCTTGCCTCGCAGGACTCACAGGACTCGCAGGCTGGCGAACGCACGTTCGGCCAGTCCATAATGCAACGAGAGAGTTTGAAACGCAGCGTGATATAGCCACGAACTGCGAAAGCAGTGATGAGTTTAGGTGGCTAAAGCGAATTTGGGAAATTTCTACATCTCACTTAGAAGTGCTGAAGTGAAAAGTTTTAAATAATGCTAAAAACTAATTAGCAAAAGCTTTAGAGAATATATAACTAAAAGCACTCGCTTGGAGCCATCGTGAAATAAAAATAAATAAGTATAATATTTCAAACAAATGGAAAGGTAATGAAAAGAGGTATATAAAAGAAAAACCTTAAGTTAAATTATTTTCTAATTTTTGTATTTGGTTATCAACTAATTCTATTTCTTGGCTTTGAAATATAAAGACCAGTTTCCATTTGGCTTGAATGCAAAGCAAAGGCAATTGAGCAGTGGCACCACTGTGGTTGGGTGGTTTTCGCTTGGAATGGTTCGGGATTCTGTGTATCTCGGGGTCACGTAGACGCTTCAGTTGCATGTCACACGCCGCTTGATTGGTTGCCTGATTCGTTGATTGCCCAGCTCGCCGCTCACGTGACAACGCGTAGCCCTCGGGCATTGTCCATCCATCCAACCACCCAGCCAACCAACCATCCATCCATCCAACCCTCTATTCCAGGTATCCATCTCTGAACAGAGAACCCGGAACCTCAAACTGAAAGTCCTGCATTTACAATCCACCTGCTCAAAACACACAAACATTCACCTGTCTGTCAGTCCGTCAGTCGAACTTCATGTGTGTGTGCTCATTCTAATTTTCATTTCATTTGCAGTCGAGAGCCGCAAAACGCAAACTAACCAAAGCGATGTTGGCCAAGTCAGTTGGCCAGTCTGCTGATTTGATTGATGGCCAGGTTCTGCTGCTAATGAACTTACATAAGTGAAACCGTTAACAAGTTATGGCCCCCGTGTTGCTGTGTTGGCCCAACAATTTCTCATGTTGCAAATGTAAACAGATTTCGGACTAGTTTCTGCTTGCCCTCGGGCTGAAAAATTGCCAGCGACCAAGGGGGAAATGCTGTTAATTAGTAAAGTTGATAAATTTACGCAGATTTAACATATCAAGTGGGTAGCAAAGCAAAGTTTGCTTTTTTCCTGATGTTGGCAGTTGTAGATGAAGATTTTCCCATTGCTTTTTTTTCGGACCATCGTGTAGGTATTTTTTTTATGTAACATACATTCATAAAGTTGTTGACCAAGTTCTGGCAATTTTAGCCCAGGAGTAGTTTGTATTTTACATGTGGTTTCCTGTAAGCAGAGAAATGTGGGAAACTTGATAAGTACGTTGCGTATACGCAGGGTTGGCTTGTGGGTTTTGGGGAAAATTATGTGCTAATTAGATGCCTGCTATTTAAATAAATATTCAGAATTCTGCAGAAGATAGAGCTTGGAATTGTATTCTAAGCAACGAGTTATCACGTTAATATTTAAGCAATTCTATTGTACACTTGAATGCCTTTCACTAAGTAATTATTTTGTCTGCAAGCAAATCAATTGTTCCGAATTCATTAATTTAATTTTGTTACATATGCACAGAGACAGCAAGTCCCATTTGAGTTGAGTTTAATTTATTATAAATGCCGGATTTTCTTTCTTCGGCTGTCTAGCTTCTACTTATTTATTTAGTATCCATGCAATGTAATTATTTGTTTCGGCAAACTCTAGTGACTCTATAATGAATTCAATTCAATTAACCAACTTTCATATTCAAGCCTGCCTGGCTGTCAACATTTCAGCATGTCAAGCACACTCCAGCTAACTTCTTTCGAGCAACTTTGTTGACCCAAAACACATGTGAGTGGGCGAAAGCCGAGTCAACACTCGACGGCCAAAACGATAATTTTCCTAACTAAATTGTCCAGGGCAAGGCAAACAAAAGTTGGGCAAACAAATAAACCCATCGAAGACATCACGGCCATTAGGTTCACTTAAAGTAGTTGGCCAAACAGACGGAGGTGAGTGAAAAAGGTGGAAATGCGGGCGGTGAAACCACAAAGTTTCTAAGCAAATCGCTTCAACTTTTGCATGTTTTGCCGGGGTGTTTTTCCTCTTATTTTTTCGCTTGTTTGTTCTCCAATGAAAGGTTAACTCCATAACAACTCCAAGACTCGACTACATTGACTGACAAGTGGTGTTTGCCTCCATATTTTTCCTCGTTTCGCGCTTGCGGAGCCAAGATTTTGCAGCTCCAAGGCGAGACAACATAAATCATGAACAGACACACACAGCGGAAAACTGGTGGAAAGTGCAGGGAGCTGGCCGCAAAACTGCGGCGGAAAAGCCGCAGTGGAAGAAGAAGGAGCAGCTGGAAAAACCGCAAAGCGTTTTTGGTCTTTTGCTGTTCTGGCGGTGGCGTCGGCGCTGGGAAATGGCAATGGCAATGGCAATGGCGATGGCAGCAATCGCTTCAAATGGCTTTAAAAGACCATCAACTCGGGGAGCTCAACTCTAGAATTTTACTCGCCAAGCGGCAAACTTTGTTTGTGGCAGCTGCAGTTTGTCTGTGCAAATTGGCGATGGCAACTAAATTGAAAAGTGCCGAGCTAAACGCCCGAAAGTAGGCAATGGTTTCTGCTTCTCAGCAGGATTCATTTCGTTTCAGTTTGCTCCGACCGCAGAAAGGATGTTTTTGCTTAAAGTTCCCGGCTTCTCGGGTTCGCTTCTCTTTTTATGGTTTTTCAACTGTCTGCAATGGACATTTCCTGCTTTCGTTCGGGGTTTTTCCTCTTTTTAAGGGGGAACCAGCATGCCAGGATGTCTGGCCATTGAAACGGTTTCCCTCCGCCCTTCTGGACACTATTAATTTGAGTCGTTTTGCTCTGCTCAGCATTTTATTTAATTTTTTTTTTTACGTTTCAATTTCGTTTCGGCATCCACTTGATTTGTGGCTTGTTTTCTTGAGTTTTCTTGGCTCTCGAAAATTTAATGCCAGCACTCAATTTACAACGATTTGAAGTTGAAGTGCTATAAAATTGATTTAGAAAGTGCTGGTGAAAATGCTGCACGAAGCATTCAAAAACTTTAATAAAAAGGAGTATTTTTCCACAAATATTTTTGTGGCATACTTTGTAGGATCTGATCCAGTCAAAGGCAGACGCTAATTGAAATTCCTCTCTCGCAAAAACCGAGCAAAAATGCCGCTCCAATACTAACGCAAAAGTACACATAACCCACACATGTGGCATGGTTATCGATGCATCCGGCAGCTGTGGCCACTTCCGGTCGACTGACCCTGCTCCGACTTCAGATTTCTATTCGGGACATTCAATGAGCGCGACAGATTAGCCGCTCGCCGGCCACAAAAAAAAAGAAAAAGAAAATGATAGAAAATGCCGGGAAATGCTGGGAGGAAAGCCAGCCAAATTGGTGGGAGTTACGGGATGGAATTGATAGAAGGGATGGGTAAAATGAGACCGACAAAAGCGACAGAGTCCGTAATGATGCGGAAGTGGACAAAAGGCAGCAGCCACGGCCTCACAAAAGCCAGAAGCTCCAGCTGCCAATTCCACAGCCCATGGCAATGGCCATGACTATGGCAAAAAGGCATTCTAAAACTGCGGTCAATTGAAATGGCAATCAAGTTAGCGGGCACGTCCTTGTCAAAAGGCCACATACACAGCCCAGGGAGCCAGTGAAATGGGATCGCTGTCCTGCCATTTGCTGAAATTCACACCGCAGAACAAAGGCAAAGATGCCAGATGCCAGCGAATTATTACCAATCGAGCCGAGATTTATTGCGAAATAAGCACGCGATAACAGATTTAGCGATTTTATTCGAGTAAAATAATATTTCAATTAGTTAGTTTTTATTTTAGAGAAAATTCATAGCTTTATTTCCATTTTAAATTGGTTTTGTAGTTATTGATCTGGCCTGACTGGTAGTTAAATGGAAAATCTGATAAAAATGGCCAGCACCTGAAGTATTTCTCCGCTTTTCCTGCAACTCATTTGAATGTGCTACGGGTATTTGCAACTGGAAAAAGTTGGAAATCCAAGTGCGCTCTTTTCCCTTACCAGAGTCGTAATTTAATGTGCTTGGCACTCCACTTCCCTTCCGCTTTTCCCCTTTTAAGTGGGAAATTCTTCACCCAGTTTCCCGAGCACTTTAAGCCCGATTATGGTTGAGGCTCATTTTTTTTAGCGCCTTTTGTTTGAGCCCCGCTCTTTTTGTTTGCCTCGCACGTATCACTGCACAAAGGAAAATACAGAGGCCATTACGTGCCCAGCCAAGTGTGCATGTGTGTGTGTATGTGCATGGGTGTATGTGTATGCGTGAGAGAGTTTTCCGCACTCCATGTGTGAGGGCGCCTGCAATAATGATTGGAAAGTTTCGCTTTGGCTCGCAGTTGCAAATGGAAATATACTGCAACCAAACACGCCCCAAGTCGTAAATATTTGGCAGGCCATGGGGTCATTTGCATAACAAAACTGCATGCGGTGCAGCCATTAAATAATTAGAAATGTTCCTTTTCCCATCGCATATCTACGAGGGGATGGGGGGAGGGGGGTTTTGTAGGAAAATTCGGCGACGGGTGGGCCAAAACTTTGTGCAACGCCTTGGCCATTAAAGCGCAATCAACTTTCGACATCATTGGTGCCTGAGCAAAAACCACAAAAAGTTGGTTGGTTCTTACATTTATTTTGAACACGAAATATTAAATACTCTGCCTTTGGGTTTTTTCATATATGAAATCAAATAAATAAATACTTTAATTTAATTTATATATTTGTTTATGCTGCATAGTAAACTGTTTAAGGCTCACAATACGAATATGGAGCTTAAATTTTAATTATTTTCCACCTATTTAAATTTTCCCTGCTGGACGAAGAGTATCCTCTAAAGTTTGGGGCAGCTTTTGGTGGGTCGTAATGCGCCTCGGGGTGGCATTCACATTTTGAGGTTAGTTGCTGTCATAAATTTTTAGTGCCCTGACTTGGCTTTTGTTTCGAAGCAGAATTTTCCTCCCTCCTCGCCTCGCTTTCCCAAGGAAATTCTTTTGTTCGTTCGCCTGCTCTAATTGGCAGCATTTGATAAATGCAATTGACTTGCATTTTCCCCGTTTTTGTTCGGTTTTGCTTTTTTTGTGCTTTACTGGTTTGATTTTAATTGCTCGTTAAGTAGTTTTAATGGGTGCGTGTGGCTTTATGGAGCTGCAGCGCCATTGTTGAGTCATTGCGAGTGCATTTGGAGCCAGAGCCTTAAAGCCCGGCCATAACATTGTGGCCAAAAGCTAAGCCAATCTAAGGCAGCCGGCAGATTTTCCTGCACGGGTGTAAAACTGGGAAAACAGTGAAGAAGGGGAGAGAAAGGGAGAGAGAAAAAGGAAAAAAGCTTGTAGGAAAATTGTCAACGACAAGGAGCGACAACCGCAAGGCGAATTGACTTTGGCGCTTTTGGCTTTGACACGTTGACATACAATAAAGGTATTTGCCTTGGCCACGCCCTAAGCTCAGACCGCCTCCGCATATATAGCTTACAGCGATTGTCACATGGAATTTTCATCACACGAAACGGCGACATGTCACTCAATCCCGTGGAAGGGAGGAAAGTCCTGGCTGGAGTGCCTCATGTCATCGTGTGTATTGAACTTGGGCTAAGGTTTCTGTCGCATTTTATACCTGTTAATCGGATATTCAGTGGGTGTACTCTTTTAATAGAATTTCTGTATCATTAACGAAATAATATTCTAGAAAGTATACTTATTAAGCAAGCAAGTAAAAATATTAACTTTGTATCTGTAATATTTGTTAGTCATTCTGTTCCACCTTTCCTTACTTGTTATTTCATAACTTGCTTCATTAATGAGCAAACATTAACTAAGTGGTGTCTTAAATTCGTAAGACTTGCTTTCTTGCTTTGCCTCTGGGTTTTTCTTTTCTTGGAATTTTTCCTCTTTTCGTTTTCCTTTTCCAAAGCTGGTTTCACACTGATTACACAAACGTGAGTAAGCTGCTTTCAGCATCGCGTTCCACATGCAAACATCAGTTCATGCATTTATTCATGTACTCACTCATTCATTCATTCACTGCTCCAAGGATGTAGTCATTCATTTTCATCATTTGTATGTTGTTAAGTCAGCAAAGTGAAGGAAAAAACGAACTGGGGGAAAAACTTGACGCACTTTTTTCTGATTTGCACTTACCCAACCCGCCGGTGATTCCGGCTCCTGATTTTCTTATCTGGGCAAGTGTGTGGCATTTCCTCAGAGTTTCCTTTCTGTTTGGTCATGCCGGCAGATTGAAACTGGCTTGGCTAGCTTCATTTGGACGGCTTTTAGGCCCTGCCTACTGGAGGCGAAGCTTGTTAATAATTTTGAGTGATTTGCCAGAACGAAACCAACAGTTTTTTAATTGCTCTTTTCAGATGAAGATTTTCTAAGAATTCTAGCTTCAGTTTTTGCCAGCCATAAAAAAGCTTAAATATTTCTGGCAAAGTTTGGTTTTCGTCAGTTTGGTTTTTCCTCAGTTTAGAAAACTGAAGGAAACTGTTCAAGTCCAGTTTATTTCTGCCATAGGTAACTAAGAAATAATTCAGCTGCTAAAGGAATTTTTACGCTTTAAAAGGCAATTCATGTTACCTAAAGTTTCATATCCATTGAAGTTTTCGCACAGTTCACTTTCAATTGCTTTCATCAATTCCAGCCTCTTTTCGTTTTCGAATTCTACCCATAACGACCCAGCGGGGAAAGTGAGAAGTAGGTTTTTATTTGACTGGAAAACCTCCTTCTTTTAGCAGGCGTAGGGGTAGGGATAGATGAAAATCTACTTCTTTTAGCAGGCGTAGGGAAGGGATAGACGGTTTCGGACCGATTTCGGGGTGGGTTTTTACCGAAAGAAGGAGGTTTTTGTTCAGCGGTAAGGGAAAAATCCAGTGGATTTTGTCCTGCATTGAGCAGCTTTAGGTCCACTGGATTTTTCCCTTTACCCCTTACTTTTGTGTGTCACCCCGTGTATTTTGAAAGGAGAGACGGCAGATTTGTAAGGGGTAAAGGGGATTTTCCACATTCCGCTTGTATGAAGAAACCACTGGAAAATAGCATATTTTCCACAGGTTTTTCCCGCTGGGGAATTTCAAATGGTATTCAAAGCCAAATCATCCAGCAATCCCAGCTGAAAAGTGCAAAATGGTCTTGGGAAATGTATGCTTTAATTGACAAGCAAACACACTGACGAACTACTACACACCGATCAAATTTCAATATGCTAATACCCTAAAAACAAAAAAAAATCCTAAAATAGAGACTCAGTGGCAGCCTTTTGGCATTTTGAGAATGCAAATTAACGCTCGAGATGGGACTCGAATGAAAAATGCCCCTGGCCAGAAATAGAATATTGATGTTATCTCCAACTAGAGAAGTTAGTTGCTGTCGTTCTGTGGTTATCAATATGGCCAATATTCCAATTCGTAACACATCCACACACCAGCTGAGATACAAAGCGCTACTCTCGCATATTGTATCTGCATTTATGAAAATGCCAGAAGTTTCGAGGGGTTGGGGTTGGGTTGGGTTGGGGAAAGCGGCAGCTGAACTATCAAAATGCATGCCAAGAGGCAAACAACAAAACCAGGCAACACGAGCTGCCGCAACATGGCAAACATGAAACCGAAACCGAAAACTGTAACTAAAACTGTGGGAAAATCACCTCCCACTGCCACCCACTCGAATGCTTACTCTAGGCAGCCAAAATTGAAAACAAAAAAGCAAGAACGGGAAAAATTTGCATGCATATTTACAAACTTTCGTTCCGAAAGTCACTGCGTGCCAGTACAGTCGGAAAATAGATGCAAAAGTACCTACAAAATTCCTGATTTTTACGGTGTATAAAAACCTTTATTACATTTTATGCCGAGCCAAGATTAAAAAAATTTAAGTAACATTTTTCAGTACCTAAAAAAAGGGTATCTCTTTAGTTTCTCTTTGATAAAAAATGCAAACATTTTTTTGAACCATAATAATTATTAAAAATAATTTAAATTCTTCCTGCCTCTTCAATATGGCTTTTACATAATAAACTAGTTAACAAATGGTTTCTGTGATATCTCCAATATTCTATGAGAGTAAAATTATTTCTTAAAAACAAATCATTTTGTAATTCTCATATTTAAGTTTTTAAATAAGCATGCTCTTAAAAACATATTTCTGAAAGTGTTTTATATCCCCAACTAACAACTAACACTTTTCCCGCTCCCTTTGTGATTCTGCCCCTCTGTGAAGCCGCATTTGATGTTCGTTTTGGCAACTATTTGCAAATGCAAATTGCAAACATGCAACAGGGACATGTTGCGTAAATGTCAATGCTGCAACAAAAAACCCCAACCAGCCGACAAGCAAATACACATGCAAATGTCTCTTTGCCAATCTCTCCATGGATTTTTCCACATATACGGGCGAGAAGGAATATTACTTATACCTCCCATTGATAAGCAGTTTTTACCGGAGGGTTCCCCACTCTCAAGAGCCGAGTAACAAAAGAAAGGAAAATTTCAAATGGCTGGATGGCTGTCACTTGATTGACAGGGGGAGTTGCACTGCCGATTGCATGGCATATATGAGTGGGCGTGGCCCTAACGAGGGGGCGGAGAACTGCAAAATGGCGTGGCCCTAAGAAGATAAGGAAAATAGCTGACCAGGCTTAAACGATTTGCAAAAGAGATTACCGAGCTGTCTGCAGGTTAAGTGGGTTAAGTAAGCTTTTACTTTAAAACATAGAAGAAAACTAGTTACTAAAACTGTTTTAGTATTACACAATTAATTTAAAAAATATTTAAGTAGAAAAGCAAACGTTTAAAGAGTGGAATCGAGGGCATAAGTCAAATTCTAATTGTGGTTACATATGCTGGGCACCCTACCAATTTTCGGCTTGTGTGTTTGGGGAACCGCAGTTATGTAAAATTGGCAACAAACCGAACTGAACCGAAACCATAAACACAGAATTTATTTCCACAATTTTGGGGCCATCGCTGGCAGGGAGTTTCCATTTGTTTACGACTGTTTCGGCCCGCAGATGTTTTTCCATCTTCTCTTTTTTTTTTTTTGATTTTAATGTTTTCCCCATTCGCGTGCGAGCTTTTCGCTTTATCAGGAGTTTGTTATGCCAACTGGTCCACTTCGACATCCTTCCCTTTTTTACATGGTCGAGTGTGGATTTAATTTTATGCCCGCTCAATATTTCATCTTTACTTTACGCACATAAATGCCGTACATATATGCATACCATAAGTGAAATTTTTCGAATAAAAATTGAAATATTTATGTGTGTTTGCCTTGTCTTCTTTTTTTTTGTTTTGTCTTGTCCTTGTTGTGCTCTTTAGCGTTGTCCTTACGTTGTCCTTGCCGGCCACATTGTCATTTGCTTCAAGTGTCAAACGCTGCTGAGTGGCCAACGATGTCGCCATTTCTTCTCGTCGCCCCCGGTTTTCCGTCTTTTCCGGTCTTTTTCTCCCCTACTCTTACTATTACTCTGACTATATTTATGTATATATGGAAAGAACAGAACTGGGTAGTTGGGAACACATAATATATGTACTTTATAATTTATAAAAATATTTTTCTTTAAGCAAAGCGTAAGCTTTATTATAAAAAAACGTGTTATTAAAAACAAATAACCTTCAAAATAAAACAGTTTTAGTATTTATTACAGAAGCAAGTATTTAATATTTATTTATATAAGTATTTATACCCCACAATATTTTATTAAAATTAAATAAGATTGAATATTGTCATTTCAAATTATTTCTCATTTTTTACAGTGACCAACTTTTGCTGCTGAAGTCCACTTCTTGCTTTTTTCCCTGCCCATATTTTTGGGGTAAATTTGCGTTGGCGGCAAAGTGTCTCGTCGCCTGGTTCGACTTGGTTTTTTTTTTCTTTTTTTCACCATCCGAAAATTTTTCTGTTTGTTTTGCATTTTCCGCCCTGCCCCTGCGGTTGTCCTTTTCCCCTTGGTCCCTGCAGATATATTCAGATATTTTCCAACGTTGTTTCTTCCATTTTTTTCCGCATATCTTATGAAATTGTTTATTTTTCTCGCTGTGTGTGGGGGGTGGGGAAAAGGGGTGGGGGGAAGAATATGGAGTGGGCCCGTAAAATGTGTTTATGCTGCCCAACTGCCATTTACCCTCTCGATAGCATCGTTCTGCCCGAACCCCAACGTTTATGTGGAGTGCATAATGGTTGTTTACTTTTTAACCCCCCTCCTCTCCTCTTCTCTTTTCCTGCCTCTTGAAGTTTGGTTTTCCCCATCAGTTTTTCTTACGATTTTCATTCACTTTGAAGTCTCCCGCTGTCATTCGACTCTTCTGCTGGCAAATTTCATTTGCCGTACTCTGCATAAGGGTTCTCTCACTTTGATTGAAGGCGGAGTGGGGAATTAGTCAGGGAAAATTTGCTTAAACAACTGTTTTCTTGTTATTAGAAAACTTAAAAATAATTAGATTTCTACTTCGACTACTTTTCTGGAATAATTGCAAATAATTTTAATTAAACTTCTACTCGTATTTTTATTTAAAGAATTATTTCTTTACCATTCTTTTAGTGCTCTTGACTTTTGTGCAAAGTGTATTTCAATCTAATGATTCTTTCACCTTTTCTCGCTTTTGTTTATTCTCCTTGGTCTCTCATCAAATTTGCGTACTCGGCTTACTCCACTCTGGTTATCATTTTGTTCTCTATGTGCCAGCATCTCTGAGGGTCTTTTTTTAGCACTTTGTGCTCCGGCACTTGGGCAAAACGACGCCGGCAAAGTGTCCTTAAAATAGTCATCAAATAACAAGCACAGAGCCACAATGGCACAACTCCTTCGCCTCCGGTGGATTTTGTATGCATGTGCATGCGCAGGACTCTTCATAAAAGGTGTTGAATTCAATGCCTGCTTTGAATTACAAACGGCCTCCGTGAAGTTGAGGATTTGCAGAGGCTTTAAGTCTTTAATTTGCCAGCAGTTGGATGCCGGCAAAACCGTCAGGCGGTCTGTGGACAGGCCAACACTAATTGGTCGTGTTGCAGTCACGTAGAGAGCTCACTATTCCAGTATCTGTATCTGTATCTAAGTCTGCATTTGAATCTGTAGCTGTATCTGTATCCGTCGGTTGGAACAGGGCAATCAACCCCACAGAACGCCGACCAGATGACCATACATGTGTATCTCGTTTATTTTATTTGTCATCTAGAACAAAAGTCAAATGCTTTGTATGCAAATATCAAGAACCGAGTTACAGGAAATCTGAGCATACGCCAGTGTCAGTTGTCTTTGTATCTGGCCAATGTATCTTTTACTTGAGCCAGTACGTCATTCAATCTGGCTTATTCAGTGTTTGCTGTTTTCGGTTTTTGGGGTTCTGGTGAAAAATCTGGTTTTTGTTTAGGCACCGAAATAAATAAATGCATGTGTGCTGGCTTGTTTATTATGCAATATGCATGACCACTTTTTACCGAGGATGTCTAGCAAGTCAAAGGATCAGCTCCAAATTGTAAATGGGCAAAGCTTCCTGGCAAACTTGTAAAATATTGCTATTTGCATACTGCATTTCAGTGCGTTTTCTAATACAATTAGGGCCAGCTGCCTGTGAGCTCCTCGTTTTCTATATAATCTGATGATCTCTTATTTGACTTGTTTCGTTACATGGTTTTTTCTTTGGGTTTGGTTACTTGCAAAGTTTTTAGCAAATTTCTCATGCATATATGCAGATGTGAATGTCCTTTTTACGGTCACACAAGCAGGAAGATGGCGAAGCAAAATCCTTGAGCACACAGCCATAAAGTATGGAAAAAGTCAAGCTGGCCATGCGGATTACAACGAAGGATTCTGTGTGGCATATGCAGCCCTTCAACCTTTGTTTATATATATTTCTATTCAATTTAAAATTCCCTAAATTAAAGCAAAGAAGAAAAGTTGCTTAAAGAACTCCCAAAAACTGTGAAATTAATTTAAGAACTGCTTAAAATGTAAACAAATTTCCATGGCTAACAATGTTTCCTGCCAGCAATTTGCAGCCAAATTGAATTCCTCGCGCGGACAACGTTCGCGTTAGTTACACTCTTGCACTCAGTCAACAAAGATGTACGACGAATAAAACAACCGGAGGAGCGGCAAAAGGACCCCAGCACCAACCGGCAAACCGGAGGCAAACATCCAAAGGATAACAGCCATGCGAGCAACATCAACAAAAATATCCTCACGTTGGCCCATAAAAAGCGCTTTAACTTCATTTTTGGCGCAGAAATACAGGTGGAAGGAGTTCAAAGGGAGTGCGCTCTCTGATTGAAAGTCCATTCTTTTAGCCAGGACATGCAGTGGCTTTCGACTAGATAACTCTGCATAGTGCAGGGCCAAAAAGGCTCTTGGTTATGGGAATTCGTGGACCAAATTGAAAAGGTTTAAAGGAGGACAAAAAGTAAAAAACTTTTAGTGCTTCCTTGAAAGTTATTATCCCTCAGAACTGCTTATTTATAATATTGTTTTGACCTATATACAAGATATGTTTATTTCTATATTTTATTTATTAAAAAACATATGCATAACCACAGCAATAGAGCATAGAAAAACTTAATTTTGCTTGGTTGATTTTAGCTAAAGTTTTCACTCATTTACCAGCACTTTTAGTACCTTTTGAAATTTATAAATTAATTTTCTGCTCGGTTGACCCGCAAGTTTGTTTATTTCAATGACACGACCTGGCAAACTTCAATGCAAACTACAAATACAAAATACTGATGGCAAAAGGCAAGGGAAAGGGAAAAGTTTCTTATAAGCTTGCTTTAATTACATTTCCATTTCCACTGGCGTAAATATCAATTTCAGCCCGGAGACAAGTGCAGCCAAGTTGAAAGGGTTTCTCAATGTCCTTTGTACTTTGCGGGTTAAGCAGCACAAAAAGCGATTTTCTGCATTTGATATTTTGTGGTTGTTTATTGTCAACTTACCCGAAAATTGAAAATTCGATGTGGATTCAGTTGACCGCAATGTTTAAACGATTCTGCAAATAGATGAAGAGTGAAAATGCAATAATGAAAATCAGTTTGCACATTTAAATGCAACATAAATACTGGCTTAACTTGCTGCTGATTTATTTGTTTAATTTACTATTTTATTTTATTTTATTTTATTTTATTTACCCTCTTTTTGTGTGAACCAAATAAACAGGCAAATAAATGTGCGACTCGGCGCATTTTACGATGAAAACGATTCGAGAAGGTAACGGAAAAACCTCCCCAAATCCCCATCCGTATTTCCACCATTACGGATTCAAAGGCGAAAACCATTTTCCTGGCACTCGGAAAGTTCTCTCGCTTTGTATAAATATTAATGAAGTAGGCCATAGAAGTGCGAGTCGAGTCGAGTTCAGTTTGTTGTTGAATGGAGCATTTGTAACAAGAAATCCTGGCCTATTTACAAGTTTTCCATTCATTGTTATCCCCGTTTTTTCCGCAACTTTCCCGGCATTTCCCCCATCCCACTGCTGCCTTCATAGCTCTTGAGTCGCTGTTTATTTGCATAGGATTCGCATAATGGTCCGGAGAGAAATTCACTGGTTAAGTCACGCATCAGCGCTTCAATTGCTGATGGCGGCCACTCGGTGCCTAATTAGCAAATGTTTTGGTTATTAAATGGTCCATGAAATGGGCGGGCATTGTACACATTGCTCTGCTCCGCATTAAATTTAAGCCAGACTCGAGGCAACAGTACACAAAAAGAAAACCTAGATATTTCCCACTTAAATTTAAAGCTTACAAAATAGTTATGATTTTTGAAGCTAAACTAGTGAAGGTTCCATGCTGAGTTGGTAATAGAGATACTAATATTTTTATGGTTTAGGAAGTGTGTAGTTTTCTTTCTGTGTTCCCAAGAGAAAACATGATTGAGGAACAGATGGAGTGGTTGAGCTTCCTGTTTCTCATTACGCTCTCAAACGGAGACAAAAGGCTTGATTAGAGTCACAAGAGTCTAGAGTGTTGCTATTGCTCTTCGCTGCCACGCCCACTTTCCGACTGCCTCCCATTTCAGTCCATTAAAATCCACTCAAGTGCACTTAAACGCATCCGAGTGCTCCGGCTGCCCGTTTTGCGTTGGCACTAATGACAGTTAAGATTTAAATACTACTTCTATACGGCTTACGAAGTGTTGTCTCTTGATTTGTAATCTTTTTAAATAAATAAATATCAGGAATATAAATAATATGCAAATTTCTTGGGATTATATTTCTACTTAAAATATTTAATACGATTATTTAACAAGAACTAAATATTATAAACAACTTCATTGTTTTATGCTTTTCGCAACTCTTTAGGTTTATATTTATTCTATACAGTTATATATAGGAAGCTTTAAAATTATTAAAGAGTATCCAGTTTTCTTTCATATTTTCTATCTATTTCCCTTTGCTTGTCATGTGGATGAGTAATCGCCACCACCCACAAAAAGGCGCCCCGGGGAAAATCAACTTGTCTGTAATCAAGGAAACTGCAAGTTTTCGCCTTAACTGTTATCGCTTGTGATTCATTTTTGTAGCGCTTTTGAATGGTCCATAAAATGTCGCCGGGTGCAAGAGTGCAAGAGTGCAACCAGTTGCATGCCCTTCACCCCAGTTCCCCTCCCCCCTCCGCAACCACCCCTCTACTTTTCAGGGATTTTCCCGGGAAACCCCTACATTTGAACTCCCTCAATCCCGCAACATTGTTCGCTGGCATTTTCCGGCCATAAAGGACACCAAAGTTCAGACTGAAAGGTGTCGCGCCTTGGCCCAATCCACTAAGTCGCTTCGCTTTAATTAAATTGACAAAGTTTTTGCAATGCGAAAAGTTCGCCATTTATTTTTGGGCCCGGCCAAAAGACAAAGGCTTCGTTCGGTCTTTTAGAAGTGTGCTTTAAATGTAAATGGCATTTGGTTGGCCTCCTTTTTCGTTTAGTACCTTTTTTGTGTTTTCTATTTTTTGCCAGGACATTCGTTTTTATGGCAGCCGTGTGTGTGTATGAGTGTGTATGTGTGTGCCGATTTGATTGTATTGTGGATCGTCTAAGTCGCAACTAACGAGGCCATCAACAGGATGCTGCACAGGCTGGAAAAGGACAAAAGTTAGCACAAAAGCCGATTGCAGTTGGTACTATATGTGATTAGAGTGGGGTAAAAATGGGAGCGCCAGCCAGCGACACGTTGCGAAAATTGCCTTAACTGTAATTGCCAGGACCTGCCAGCCAGCCCATTCCATCCCACCCCATCCCATCCCAGCCTCCTCCTTTGATCACCCACTTGGCCCACCCTCAAATTAGGCTTAAATGCTTGAGACAGCAGCCTATCCAATTGTTGGCTGTCTTTCGGGGCTTCGGCGCTTTGCATCTGATTGGTTTTTGCCAAGCGAAAATCTGGCAAAACGAGAGCTTAGCTCTGGCAGAGATTACCTGGATTCAGAGGAAAGTGCAGCGAAAGAAGATAAATATTGTGGGGAGCAGATGAAAGGCTTAAACTCAACTTAGGTGGAATTGTCAATAGTTTTAAGGTAGATTTATTCGTTTGGGATGTGCAGTTTAAGTGATTTATAGAAACGAATTTAAAGTTTACAATAAACTACCGAACAGATTTGTTAATTAAATTGAAATTTTAACTGAAGCGGAGTATCGTTAAAAACACGTTTCTAATTGAATTTCCGTGCGGAATGCGGTATGAAAATTTAGAGAATTTCACTAGCGCTGAAGCTTTCAATTTAATTATGGGGTTTAATTTTCACGGCATCCTCCTGGATGGAAAATAAAAATTTCTCAAATTTCATTAAGCTCTTCGTTCAGGTCCGCTCGGTTTGCGAAACAAGAGCTATAAATTTCCAGCTTATGCCAGTGCGCCATAAAAACAATTTTATGGCATTCTTTTTTTTTCTGTTCGCTTTTGTACGCCAGCGGCGAGGAAACAAAAAATAATGCAATTAAACAAATAAATTTCCCAATAAACCTATTTGAGGCGGGGCGGGTAAAAAAAAGCGCAAATGGAGGAGGATCGGGTATAAAAATGGCGTAATTTACCTCAATTAACACACCAGCTGGGCGGTGGCCGAATGGGCAGTTCGATGCACTTGGATGGGGATCCAGGATCCGGGATCCTTGTGCGGGCTTAATTGCAGGCAATGGTCAGTCAGACAAAGAGCCGTAACCCGGCCACGCCCCATTCTGGGTTTTATCGCCCCCCCTTAACGACACTCCAAGTGTTCGCAGTCGAAGCCATTAAAAACTGAAGGGAGCCGACTTAAACGGACCAGCTTTTCCATTTCCCATTTTTTTTCTGTTATCCTTGCCCCCTTTTTGGCAAGTAATGACCAAAAACAAATCGACAAGGAGCAGCATCAGCGGCAGGACATGTCTGGTCGTGGAGCCATTTAATGCCCATGTAAATGTGAGCCAACAAACCTACCTGCTCGCCATTAAAGTTCACTTTATGTTGGCCATTTTACAGTATAGAGTATAAACCGGTGGAAAAAAGGAGATATCCTGCGAGGCGGAGGGTCAAAGACAGTCTGACAGTCTGGTGCAACTGTTTCTAATTGTGTGAGGGCCTGCATAAAAATGCTAATTTAATGTCCTGCACACATAGCCGAAACAAGTTTTCATCTTGTAAATATTTTCATTATGGTCGAGCGAGCGGCAACAGCTGTCCTTTCGGGACATAAAATGCCTGTTTATGAACGTGCCCGGAATGGCCGAGAAGTTTCCACTGTAGTGGCCCCATTTGGAAGGTTCATGGCTCAAATGCCAACCGGGGGAGGAATCCTAAATAATCGGAATGCCTTCTCCGGCTGGACACTAAGTGCGGTAATAATTTGCGAAAGATAAAACTTAAATAATTACCCAGAGTTCTAAATGATTGACGCTGTTTTTGAGGGAAAGTACTTGACTTTTAAAAGGTTTTGGCAATTGAAATGCTTCTGAGTTAAAATGAAATATACATTTTATGTTATTAAATATATTGGTAGATGTACTATAAACCTTTTGATATCTAGCATCCCAGAGGTTTTTAGACTAATTAAACACGCTTCGTACCAAACTTATAATTTTACAGAAAAAACTAATAATAGATAAAGAGTCAGACGGCATTATAGCCAGACATGTGTGTATATACTCATTGTATCTACGAGTGTGTTTTCCCCGACTGCCTTTGTGTATCTTGTTTTGGCTTCTGTTACAGCATTTATTGTTGTTTTTACCCGCTTTGTGCGAACGTTGCTCGAGTTTCTGCTTTTGTTTCGCAGCTGCAGCTTTTCTACTTTTCTGCTTTTGCCTTTGTTTTTGCCGGCTTTGCCGCTCGACGTTCCTTGTTTTGCCAGCTTCCGTTTCCGCCGAGTGTACTTTGAGTGTATGTGTGGGTGTGTCTGTGTCTTTTTGCTACTGAGTTTTGTCTTCCTGTTAGCGCCTTTGGGAGCAGTCTCACAGTTGCCAACACTGCCGCCAGCTTAATATACACTCCAAAAATTATATAACTAAGTCTTTATATACGAAATAATTTTATGTATAGTTAATACACAAAAATATTTGCTTGAAAAATCTTTAATTTAATTGATTACCATTAAAAGGGTATTATTCTTTAATAGAATCATAATCCAAACCTTCTTTTTATTTCTCAAAGTATATCCCTCGGCTAAAATTTCCTTGCTCCCCAAACTCTCTTCATATTTTGCCATTTTTCGTTTACTTTATGAAATTGTAAAATATTACATAAATAAATAGAAAACGGCTCGGCTGGGGGAAAATGAAGCTACTTAGGATATCGCCCGGGGACCTTCAATGAAGCCGAATACCAAGTTTAATTCCTCCCCAACCGCGTATTAAAGTCAAAAGCTTTGACAGCGTTTCCCGCCTAAGAAGTTTTGCGCTTATTTTATTGCATTTTTTTTTTATTTTTCGGGGCTTGTTAAGAGCGCCAGAAAGTCGGTAAAGGGACTTGATGATGCTGCGCTGACGTGGCGCATTCGTGGCTTGTTTACAGGGGCGGGGATT